ACTACATTGAACATAAATATATCAATTGAGAAATAATTTTATTTTTCTAATGAATTTTAGTAGATATTATTATTTTTTATTATTATAAAGATAAATATAATTTATTTATTTATTTATTATTTTTGGTAGCCACCACGGTATCCGAAGCATTGCCCCGACTAATCTGTTGGTACACCCGGGTCACACACCTGGCAATGGTGGGTGAGTCTCCAACAAGAGTTTTCTGCATTCACAATTAATTTAATTTATATACAATATTGATGTCAAATCGAAGATCATCAAAAGATGATTAATTTGATATATTATATATGTAAAGCCAATAAAAAATACAAAAATTATCAACTTTTAAAATACATTTACAATTCAATAGCTAATTGTGGAAGCAAATCAAAATTCATGGATATATTAGTCACTTAGTGCCTCACTATGCAAAATTACAAAGAATTACAGGGTTATATTAGTAAAATTGATAGTAAAATATCTAAGTTAACTAAATAATAATTATGAAATGTCCGAACCTAGATTATTAGTTATTAATATATCAATATTATTTGTCCAACCTAATTACAAAACATGAGTCTTTGTCAAATAAAATTTCGAAACACCAAAAGCACCAACGTAGGATCAGCGCATTCAAAAATTATATATATAAGAGAGATTTGGTGCGCATTTACGCATATAACCACATATAGAATACATAAATATATTATGAGTGGTGCTATATGTACAATCAAAATTGTACAATGAGTTTTACAATGAGGATATATCATGATAAATTCATGATCTTCATATCCAAATATGTATTGCGAATGTAGTTTCATTATATAATTTTTATCCCCAAGTTAATTGTTTCAACATACCGGATAAATTATCTATTCTATCTGACATATCAGCTAGAGATCGTTTCTCTGAGACTGATAATCTACGTGATTCTCCTATAATCAAAGAATTTTCTTTAATCTGCATAGGATTTTTATTTCCTATCACAGTTTTTCCTTTAGCTATATCAATAGCCCAGTGTTCTTCTAGAGGTGCTAATTCACAGAAGGTTTTTTCTTCTACTGAACCTATATCTGAAAAGATATCTTCTAGTTCAATATAAGATTTTTTCCTATAATCTATACTATGTTGACTATTACTCAAAGCATAGCTTATAACGTATGTAACACTAAAGACTTTATCTCCAGGGTTCATTAGATTTTCTCTTTCAAAGTGATGAATGAAAGATAATGTTCTATCTAAATTTGCAGTTTGAATAGACATGCCAAATTTAGGATAAACTGTGAAAATAAACTTACCATAAGCAAGGTTTCCCCTTGCTGCTCCTAAGATACAGTCTTTTTTGTCATTAATTCTATCATCGATTAATGCCATCTTTATAGGAGTATCAATCCCTTCTTGAAATTCAGCTTTAAGCAAAATTTTTATTGCTCCTAGATGAATTATTGAAATTTTACTTCTTATAAGAGATGGAATTTTCTCTAGGTTTTTTCGTATTTCT